ATCATTCTGTTTGAGGCTGATGGAGCCAGCTAGATCTGACACATGGTTGTCTTGCAGACTGTCCCCTTTTTCCTTCTGAGTCTTTTCTTGCTATAGTCATACTTCTACATTCTTGACCACTTGCATTATAACCCCTTTGTCCATTAATGCCAACTATTTGGGTTTAAACGGACACTTTTGTGATCAACACCTCTTTAAATGATGCAAATGATAAAAGTTGGAAATAAAACAAAAATGAAAGGAAATAAGTTAAAAAAATATAAATCAAAATCAAAATAATAATAAAATAAAAATACCCCACATTCTTTTATTCCTACCCGTACATGATCTTTTTCATGCATGTTATTTTCTTGAACAAATACCAACCGCATATATTTCAAATTCACATGCTTTGAAAAGTAGTAAATAAATCAAGACATCCTAGGTTTTGAAATGGAGTTTTGGGTGGGATCTAATTCCTTGCAGCATCACAGTTTGGTTCTAAAAAAGGTACCTGAGTTCTCCTTGCTGGTGTCCCCTTGGGCTTGCCAGACCCTCAGTCGTAAGCCCATTACAAGCTCATGTTGACCAAGTTAAACTCTAGAGGATACATTCCCTTATGTCTGTACGGAGAATAAATTCACACGAAGACATAAGGTATATACATCCCAAAGGTCATTTGCTAGGCCTATACAGAGAATAAATTCTCACGAATGTGTCGCTTTCCCCTCCACTTAAAAAGGTTTGGAGCTCGAGAATAGAGCCTGAGATTGAATTTTGAAAAACCTGAAATCATTGAAAAAACATCGGTACAACTATTTATTCAAATAATAATCAAAGGTAAATATCAAGGGTCGAAAGGATAAATTATAATTTATACTTACAATTTTCGCTTAAGAAGATAACTGGAAATCAATTTTGTCCTGACTCACATACCTTTCCCCAATGGAATCGACAAGTTATTGTAACTGACCTTCAGGTGGTCCCAGGATTAGGTTCTGACTTGATTTCATGTGTTGGAGCCATCACCGATCATTTTAATTTGGTCGATCAGATACCATAACTTATCATTATCTGATCTACGTTTTACCATAAATTTGTCAGATTCGGGAATCAATTACAGTCAGAGGAGGATTATCACCCCTGTACTGCCTTTTCGGTACCAATTCGATTTCTCGATTATCTTAATTGCGAAAATCAAAAGCTAAATTAAAATTTAAAAGTTCGAACGAATTACTTACCTTTGACGAATTTTAAAATTGACCAAAAAAATAAATCAAATTAATGTTAAACAATAAAAAATATTAAATAAATAAAAGAATTAAAAGGCAATTCAAATTAAAAAGGATTAAATCAAAAAAAATTAAAAGTCAATGACCAAATTGATGTTAATTGAAACTGCAAGGGAAAAATAAAAAGTTAGGGGGTCAATTTAAAAAATACAAGAAATAGAAATAGGGATTAAATTGAATTAATTCAAAATTCAAGGGTAAATTTATAACAGGTGGCCAAAATGATTTACACATCAAAAGTACAAGGATCGTAAAAATAATTAAACTGTTTACTAATTACATAAAGTCCCCCTATAAATACCCCTAAATTGACAAAAAATCATTTTATCCCATTTCTTTAAAAAAAACCTCCCCAACTACAAAAAATGCTTTCCCCTCTCTCCTATGGCCGGCTGAAAACCGGCCACCCATCGGTGGTCGCCCACCTCCTGAGCCCTCGTTGACCATCACTCTGGCCACCACCTCCGGTGGCCGGAAACAAACCCCCCGAAGCTTCTTTTTTACTCCTCGTACTTAATCCAACATCAAAACACCCGAAACACTACTCGCTTGGCGTAGATCTATGCTAAATGTTCAAGCTTTTACCCTTTTCCGACGATTACGCTTCGATTTCCGGCAATCTTTGTCTTTCCACCACCGTGCTTTCTTCTGCGCGATCTCAAAGTTGAATACTTGATTTTTTGTGACTTTTTTCTTGTTATTTTGAATACTTTGTTTTTGCTTTGTTTACTTGGTTGCTATATTGATTCTTTTTCGTTGTCCTTGATGAAGCTTGGCGTGGTATTTATATAGCCCCCGACAGAGCTATTTTCGATCATTACAGGGGTCATTTTTCATTCCCTGATTTGTGCGAGTTGTTGTAATCCTGTTTTTGACATGATTTTGTGTTCGTTGCTGGAAAATAAGGGCATTCCCCTTCGATTTTGCTTCGGATCTGTCGCAATTTTGTTGTTTGGTATCGAAGTGGCCAGTTCAATGTCGGAACGTGGTCTTCACGCGCCATGCGAGCCCCTCCCCCATGCGGCTTCTATACTAAATGTTGGAAAGCCTAATCTGTTGGGTCACGCTATTGGGCTCCCACCGGTTGTGCTTACTAGGTCAGGCTGGTAGGCCCAATTGGGCTTTGTTGTTGGACCTGATCTTTATATTTGTATTTAATTTGGGCCTAAACCTAAAGAATAAACCGAAAAATAATATTAATAATAATATAATATAATAAAAATGATAAATAATATATAATATGTAATACGTACACTATATATTTATTTAAAAACTATATAATATATATTATATTTTCAAAAACTATAATATGTTTTAAAAAACTATAATATGTTTTAAAAAATTATATATGTTTTCTTTTAAAAAAACTATTTTCAAAAGGTATATATTATATGTTTCCAAAGGAATATACATTTTCAAAATTATATATATTTTCAAAAATTATATATTTTCAAAAACCATATATTATATACATTTTTTAAATTTTTTTATATATATTATATACTATATTATAATATAAATATTGAAATAAAAGCTCTTAATGTCTCGGACGAAAATGAGTGTCTACATATTCGATCGTCAATCTAGTTAAGTCTAAGAATGTTTGAAGTTCAAGTATTTTAAGTTAGAGTCAGGTTTTAGCTTTTTTTATTTCAAGTTTGAATCAAGTTTGGCTATTTTAAGCTTGTAGTTTTTTTAATAAAACTATTCAAGTCGAGTCGAACTTGATAATTTTAAACTCACAAGCTTATAAGTCGAGTCAAATTTAACTTTATTTTTTTTTAAATTGAATTGAACCCCATAATAATCGAGCTCGACTCGTCAACTCATTTACAATCCTAAAAGATAAGGTCGGGTTCAACATACGAACCATTCAACTTTTATTACATAAATTTGCTTTTTCCCCCTTCCATATTTAATCCTTTAAAATTATTTTGATTAGTATAGTTGTATATACACTTTTATTTGGGTAAACTACACAATTAGTACTTAAACTATTAGTTTTTTTATTCTATATAAATTTTTATTTGTTTCAAAATCATACCAAACGTTTACTTTTTGTTTTATTTTAGTATCCCGTCGTAAAAATTTAACTAAACTTTTATGGGTAAATTACTGTTAAAACAAGGGAATTACTGGAAATGCCTCAATGTATTAATTTGTCTCATTTACATCACTTATATAGTATTTACAACAGAGGCAAACTACCTAACTAATCCTCTAACAATTTCTAACTTCCCTAATTGATTTCTAACATCCCTAACAACCTTTTATTCTTAACACTCCCCCTCAAGTTGGGAAGTGAAATACATCTTCAACTCCCAACTTGGATAAGAGATACTTATGTTGTGCAACACCAAGAGCCTTTGTCAGAATATATGCTTGTTGCTCTGCAGTTGGTACAAATTCTATTTGAACTAAGCCTTGCTGAATTTTCTCTCTTATGAAATGACAATCTATCTTGATATGCTTTGTTCTCTCATGAAACACAGGATTTGTTACAATTTGTAGGGCTTCTTTGCTATCACTGAAGATCTTTTCTGGTTGATTATTGTTGACACCAAGCTCATTTAACAAACCTTGAAACCAGATTAGTTCTGAAGTTGTTACTGCCATACTTCTGTACTCAGCTACTACTGAAGATCTCGCTATGGTACTTTGTTTCTTTGATTTCCATGAAACTAGTGAATCACCTAGCTTTACACAGAAACCTGTCATTGACTTCCTTTTCATTGGACATGTTGCCCAATCCAAATCACAGCTAGCCACCAACTGACAACTACTTGAAGCTTTCAAGAAAATCCCCAACCCAGGATTATTCTTTATATACCTTATCACTCTAAGAGTTGCCTCCATGTGTTCTTTCTTCGGATGATGCATGAACTGGCTAAGATTTTGAACTGAAAAAGCTATGTCAGGCCTTGTATGTGTCAAATAAAGCAGTCTGCCAATTAACCTTTGAAAATCTACTTTTTCAGCTAAACAATCCTCACCTTTGTTCTCTTGTTGTAGGGAATAATCATATTCCACTGTAGTGATCTTAGTATTCTGTTCTAAGGACGTTACAGCAGGTTTTGCACCCCCTAACCCTGCATCTTGAATAAGCTCAAGGGCATACTTCCTCTGATTTAATAATATCCCTTCTTTTGTTCTCAAAACTTCCAAGCCCAGAAAATACTTCAGTTCTCCCAAGTCTTTCATCTTGAAGTTCTTATGCATCACCCCTTTCAACTCTGAAATCATCTTAGCATCATTTCTTATGATTAGCAGATCATCAACATAAACAAGAAGTACTGCTATATAATCCCCTTGTCTCTTAGTAAACATAGAATAATCATGTTTGCTTTGACTATATCCTATTGAAATGAGGGCTTCTGTGAGCTTGGCATTCCATTGTCTCGAGGCTTGCTTTAAGCCATAGAGAGACTTTTGTAGTCTACACACAACATTCTCCCACTGACTACAAAAACCTTGAGGCAACTCCATGTAAACTTCCTCAAGTAAATTACCTTGAAAGAAAGCATTGTGAACATCCATTAACCACAAAGGCCAAGAAAAAATGGCAGCAAGTGCAAGAACAAAACGAACTGTGGTAAGCTTAGTAACAAGAGAAAAAGTATCCACAAAATCAACTCCCTCTCGTTGATTATAACCCTTAGCCATAAGTCTTGCCTTGAACCTCTCAACTTTACCGGAGGCTTTGAACTTAACGCGAAATACCCATTTACATCAAATGCATACTTTTCCTGGGGGCAAGGGAATAAGAGACCAAGTTTTATTTAACTCAAGAGCATGAATTTCCTCTTGCATTGCCTTAATCCATCTAGGATCAGATTGGACTTCTTGAAAAGTTTTTGGTTCAGGGAAATGAGAAACAGAAAGTACAAAGGATTGTGTATGTTTTGGTAAATGAGAATAAGAAATATAGTAAGATATCGGATACTGACCTGAGGGAGAAGTAGATTGGCAGGCATGAACATAATCGTGTAACCAAGATGGGGGTTTAGAAATTCTAGAAGATGTTCTAGTAGTCTCAGTATTAGGAACAGAAGCTTGAGGAATAATAATGGGAACTACATCTGTTGAAGCATTAGAAAGATACTCTGAATTAGTTGAAGAAGGATTAGTGGGGATTTTTGAAGAGGCTGAAGGTAAAACAGAATCTGAGGAAGGAGTTTGGTTAAGTGAGGAAGGAAATGAGAGTTGCAAAAAATCATAGTCAAGTATATCAGGATGAGGAGGAAAAAAAGACTGATTGGAGGAAGCAAATTTAAATGGAAAAACATCTTCATGGAAGATAACATTTCGGTTAACAAAAAAGGTTTTTAAGTCAATATTAAAGAGAATGTAACCTTTTTGAGTAGCAGAGTAACCTAAGAACACAGCAGGAATAGTTTTTGAAGAGAATTTATCACTATAGTGCGCTTAGTTGCATAGCATAAACAACCAAAGACTTTAAGATGAGACAAAGATGGTGGTTGGTGATAAAGCATTTCAAATGGTGTTTTCCATTTTATCACAGAGGAGGAAAGCCTATTGATAATGTAACATGCAGTGAGTACACACTCACCCCAGAATTTAATAGGAACATTAGAATGAAAACAAAGAGCTCGGGCAACCTCTAAGATGTGTCTATGTTTCCTTTCAGCAACACCATTCTACTGAGGAGTGCCCATACAAGAACTCTAATGAACAATACCAAGGGAAGAAAAGAAAGGGGAACATTCTGAATTAAAGAATTTAGAGCCATTGTCACTTCTAATTACTTTAACAGAGGTAGAAAATTGAGTTTTGGCTAAGGAAATGAACTGTTTTAAAGAGGAAAGAGCATCATTTTTATGCTTCAACAGATATAGCCAAGTCATCCTAGTGTGATCATCAAAAATAGTAAGAAAAAACCTATGACCACTGTATGTAGAAACTCTATACGCACCCCATAAGTCAATGTGAATTAGTTAAAAAGGGATGGCCGACCTAGAGGTACTTATAGGAAGAGGCAATCTATTTTGTTTAGCTAAGGGACAAACAGAACATTTATGCACCAAATCATGCTGAAACTTAACAGACTGCAAACTGTCTATTTTATTCAGTGTAGATAAAGCAGCATGCCCTAATCTAGTATGCCAAATAAAAGTGTCAAGCTTGGAAGAATTCATATAAGGTGCAGTAAAGGAAAAATGATTTAAAACTGGGGGTTGAGGAACAGAAAAACCAGAAGAAAAAAAAAAGCAGACTCAAAAAAATATAATCCTCTAGACTGCCTGCCAATCCCCTTCATCCTTCCAGTGCAGAGATCCTGTAGAAGGAAAAAGTCAGGGTAAAAGGTAAAGTAACAACCAAGATCATGAGTGAGCCGTGATACTGACAGTAAATTATGTTTAAATTGTGGAACAACAAGAACATTATCAAGGCTATAATCTGAATTAAAGTTACAGGAACCAAGATGAGTGATAAGAACCTTTTTTCCATCAGGAAAGCATATGAATCGAGTAGAGGAATCACAAGGACTAAAAGAATTCAAGATCTTAAAATCAAATACAATATGGTTCGTTGCTCCTGTGTCAACAATCCATTTAAGTGAAGCATTGAAATGTAAAGGATAATTAGTAAATGTACCTGCAAGGTTAACAGCAGATTCAGCAGGTTGTTTGTTCAGCAACTGCAAGATTTGTTCATACTGTTCTTGAGTAAACAGTGGAGGAGAACACACTATTGAATTGAGTCGAGTGGAAACAACCATCAGATCAACAGAGACTGTTGAATTTGCCACAACATTTGAAGTTGTTTTCTTCTTACTAAACTTGTAATTGGGAGGAAACCCAATTAGACGGTAGCACTGGTCCTTCTTATAACCTTTGATCTTGCAGTAATCGCAAGTACCAGAAAAACGTTTTTGCTTAGAGGAAGCAGCAGAACTAGAGTACAAAGCCATCGAATCAGGTACAACAGCTACAGAGAGATGAGAACGCTGTGATTCCTCTTGAATCATCATGGAATAAGCTTGATTCACCGTAGGCAGGGGCTGCATAACTAGAATCTGGCTCCTAATCGCTGAGTAAGATTCGTTTAATCTCATCAAGAATTGAAACAATTTTTGTTGACACAAGGAGTTTCATATTCTGCTATGAAACATCACAATCGCAAGCAGTAAACGGGATCAAGGATTCATACTCATCCCACAGCATCTTCAACCTAGTAAAGAAAGCAGAAATGGTATATTCACCTTGATAGAGAGTAGCAATCTCTCGATGCAGAAAAAATATGCGAGAGCCATCAATTTTATAAAATCGCTCCTGCAAATCATTCCAAACCGAAGCAGCGCCGGAGGCGAACACAAGTTCGGCTGATAAATCTTTACTGACGACATTCAAGATCCAAGATAGAACCACGGCATTACATCTATCCCACTGCACTTGCAACGCACCACTGTAATCGCTTCGTTGACAAGAACCATCGATGAACCCTAGCTTGTTTTTCGCAAGTAATGCAATCTTCAGTGAACGACTCCAAACACAGTAGTTTTCTAGGCCAATCAACGGCTGAGAAATGAGCAAAAGCCCAGGCATATCGGATGGGTGGAGATAAAGTAAGTGAGTGAAGTCAATTTCCTCGGTAGATGGCATCGTCGAGAGAAGAGGAAGAAAAAAATTTGGGGAAAAAAAGCAATCAGACGAAAAGGAGCAAAATGAAAAGAAAAAAAACAAAAGCAGGAGCCACAAAGCAAAATGATTGAAATTAGGCTGATACCATGTTAAAACAAGGGAATTACTGGAAATGCCTCAATGTATTAATTTATCTCATTTACATTACTTATATAGTATTTACAACAGAGGCAAACTGCCTAACTAATCCTCTAACAATTTCTAACTTCCCTAACTGATTTCTAACATCCCTAACAACCTTTTATTCTTAACAATTACATCATTCATTACTCATCTATCTTCTATCTCCTATTTTGAACACTAAAGTTTAAAAAAAATCAATTTAACTACTCAACTTTTTAAATTGCTCTTATTTTAATAACTCCAATTTATTTTATTAATAATTTTTGTGACATGAAATTATTATTATTATATTAATATATAGTTAAAATAAAAAAAATTGAAAGTAAGTGTGACTAAATTAGGAGTACTTTGAAAGTTAAATAATTAAATTAAAAAAACAACTCAGTGACCAAAATAGGAGTGGGAAATAGTAGAGTAATGAATAATGCAACTTATCCATAAAAAAGGTGTCCATACAATAATTCCGTTAATTTTTTAACAGCGAGGTACCAAAACGAAACAAAAAATAAATGTTAGATATGATTTTGAAATAAATGAAGGTTTAGATACTAAAATTAAACAAAATTGATAGTTTAGGTGCAAAATGTATGGTTTACCCTTTTTATTTTTATTGTTATTCTAATTATTATGTATATCTTTTTATTAAATATTATTAATTGGTTTTTTTAAATTTTATGGAAGTAATCAATAAACTAAAGATAATTTAATATAATAATTTGGGCTAACTATATGATTGATTACTTATGTTTGTATTTTCTCCAATTTTCCTCACTGATTTTAAAAAAAACATAATATATGGTCATATTCAGTTTTATTTAATTAAGATGCGGTCACCAGTCGTTAAATATTTTGATATAATCACACATTTGGTCCCTCTTATTCACATATTCTCTCAATTTAATCCTATTTTTTAATAAATTAAAATAAATTTAATTTTATAATCAATTGATGTCATGTGTCACCCTCTGGTCGAAAGAAAACAAATCAAAATAATTTAGGGCCAAAGAAATTTAAACCTGGTTCACTTGGGAAACTAAACATATATTGAACTATTAAAACAAAATCAATATTTGGTATAAAATAAACGACATGATGTATATATATTTTGTATCTTAATGTATAAATATTTAAGTTAAATTTATAATATTATTATATATATATATATTATCTTTAAAAATATTTTTATATTAACTTATTAAAAATATTTTATTATTATCTTAATTTATATTCGTTGTCTATTCTACTTTAGCATCTATCCTTTTTAGTCGATTGAAACTAGCTCCTTATCTCTAAGGTAGACAAGTTAGAACATCACCATCCCGAATCCATTCCATTGTTCATATAGATCTATCTTAATTCTCTCGAATCTAAGAATCAATATCTAGACAAAAGGTAATCTCTCGACGCTCTTACATTGCCAATACATGTTTCACCTAGACCCCAGGCAATCTCTCGAAGCTCTTACAATGTCAAGGTAAAATATTCAAACAATGAACAAAACAGTCATGAGCATAATCATAATTCATCATTCATAAAGCAAAAAATAATTGTTTAGGCAAAACAAAGATTAACACCAAGTAAGACAGTTCATGGTGTTATCAAAAAGTCAACCAAGTATCATCGTTTTAATACAACCCAAAATACGTAAAGAAATTAAGAACAAAGGAAGAACAACTCCCAAAACTGGGGGCTCTGTCGTGACAATTCTGATCAACACCGCGCCTGCCTTGGCGGTCAGCTTCTCTCAAGAACTGACCACCGCTCTACTACAGTCTGGATATGGAGGACACCAAGGAAGGTCGGTTGGTAAATGGTGGGGAAGCACTGCAGTTGCTCGCTCACACTTCAAGTAAAGCTCTTTTAACTTCCTTGCCTTCTCTCTTTGGTGGTTATGGATGGCTATTTATAAAGAGAAATCTCCTAGAGTTTCGCATGAGTAAAGATTCCCTAGATACTCGTTATTTTCTTGTCTATGTTAAAAAAGGAAATGCAGTTGGCTGTTTTCAAAATCTTAAGGGCTTGTTTACACCTAAAGGAAATCATACAGCTGGCATATGACATAGGCGATTTCATCATATCTGCCTCAGACTTTCCAGATAAACCTTGTCTTGGCGAGATAAATCTTCTCCTCACTTTCTTTTACTTCTCTATTCCATTGGCCCTTTCAAATTACGTTGTCGCGACTGGAATGTTTTTCCTCAGTAAATTTCCTGCACATACATAATCCACACAGACCCTTTCTCCTCAGCAGCATCACTCAAACCAAATATATTTTGCCGAAGCAAAACTTATCCACCACAAACAAATATAACCTAAATACAACTAAAATGGTGTGCATACTTTGTTTAGACGAGAAATAAATTCAATGAAAAGATTAGAAATTTAGTCTTTTTATGGAGTTATCACTTCTCTGTGTGCCTCTGAACTTAGCAGCAGTGCTAACATTGAAATACTTGCCGACATGCTATGTAATTGTTCCATGATGTTGTATTCATTGTGTTTCAAAAATTTCAGGAACTTCACAGCCTTTTCTTCCTTTATGGGCTCATTTACTACTAGTATTTCCCAACAGTATATCTCACTCCGTAACATCTTCCTTCAAAGTGCTTACTTGACATTCATACTTCTAAGGCACTTGTTTGTTGTCCTTGTAGGGAAAAGTTCTTGGTGCCACTATCACCACTTTTGCTGGTGCTTTATCTGTTGTCTTTTCTTTAGGGGTGATTACCAAATGACGGCCCAATCCATATCCTCTCTCGGATGAATCTTTAGTCCCATAAATATCTGCTTCTAGAGTGTCCTGGACTTCCTCGTAGAATTTTAGCTCTATCTTATCCATCATGAGCTGGATCAAAGCTATAAACTCCGAACAAACTTGCATATCATGTCCTTTTTCATTGTGGTAACATTAATTGTTACCATCTTAACATTCTGGTATGTAAGAATGTGGTGCAAGAAATCCTTCTTTTACCATCTTCCTCCATACCTAGGCTAGTAGAGAAATTATTTCAGAAACACTTGTTTTGACCCTCTTGCTCCTCTCCTAGAGAATCGCATTAAATCTAATTTCTTGGTGGTTAGGCAGAGGGTTCTGCGCAACGTTTGGTGAGTCTGAATTATTGAAATGGATGCAGTTCCTGTTGTACATCGGTTGCACAATTTTTTTGAAGACGATGTAGTTCACGATGGCATGTCCCAGAATTCCATCATGATATTCATATTATGAATTCCCATCATACCACTTGGGGTATGGGGGCATTAAAGGTTCCACTGGATAAGGTGACACCATGTACATGTCGAAGAGATGTTGATAGAATTCCTTGTAAGTCATGGGAATAGGATCGAAATGTTCCATATCTCTTTTTTTCCTTGGTTCCCTTAAGTCTTGTTTAGAAGTACCTGACGGTACAACTGCAGTTGGTTTTGAGTTGGAGACCATAACACTTTTGCTATTATTGAAAGCATTTACGTTATTGAACTCTCATTCTATTTTCTTTATAGGAGGTATTCTTCTATACTCACCTCCTTCAATTTTTCCTTGTTTAATGGTCGTTTCCACCATCTCCCCGACTATAACCAAATTAGATAAGTTTTCGGACATAATGACAACTAAATGCCCAAAGTAAGGGGCCTTTAAGGTATATACAAAGAGTTTCCTTGTTTCTTTTTCATCCAAGGGTGAATGAACTTCCACAGTTAAATCCCTCCATCGTTGTACATACTGTAAAAAACATTCGTTATGCTTCTTTTTCATGCCCTATAGCATAACACGATCTGCCCTCATATCATTTACGTGCTTGTACTGTTCCAAAAATGACTTGGTGAGATCTTTCTATGTTTGAATTTGCAAACGGTTCAGCTGATTGTACCACCTGATAACTGAACCGGCCAAACTCTCCAGGAAGTAGTGAATCATGAGTTGGTCATTCCCTACATATCCTGTCATCTTTCGACATAACATGATAATATGAGCTGAAGGGCAACTGTTCCCATCGAACTTTTCAAAGTCTGGGACTTTAAATTTTGGAGGAAGAATCAAATCTAAGACTAGGTGTAATTCCATAATAGTCGTTGTGCCCTTTAACTATCTTCGTCTAGTCTTCCAACTGTTTGATTTTTTCCTTCATTTTCTTAGTCTTGTCATCTTCATCAAAATCTGGTATACGGTAGTCATCCGGATTATTCTGGGGATTGGATAAAAAATCTGTATTTTTACAGCAGACAAGGCTTGTGCTTTTGTATCATATGAATCCCCTTGAAGTCCTGGTAATATTCATATTCATGGTGTGATAACCACCTGCAGGGTAGGTGGCACATTTACTCTTTCAGATGTCCTTACCTAAGGAGTACTTTCCTGATTCAAACCAGATAATTTTGTGACGATTTGATTGACCAAATTCTTTTATCTTATAGTGATTGATTCAAGAGTATTTTGATTATTCTAACTTATTTTTTCTTCAAGATACCTTTGTAACCTCAACATGTTCTCTTCGAGTTGAGCAATCTTAGCTTCCATTTTCTTCTTCTTTGAATGGGTACTATGAGGATTAGGTGTGTCCAATGCTTGGGGTGGTATGTACAGTGTTTGTTACTTTTTTATGAGACATTTTCTGTTAGTTAATGTGAATGTAAAGAAATGAAAAGAAAAATAAAATAAAATAAAATGCAAAGTATATAAAAATGCATGATGCATTAAATTTTTGAGGCACTGATCCAAAAATACGTCAGCTATTATAAATAATATTTATTATGACAAAAGCGTTCATTATAAGAGACTAAAAACAACTCAAAGGTACATTCTGACTAAGTCCTCTAGACCCCGAACGACCTCTAACAGG